TTTTATTTTATTTTCTTTTGCCAGACTCGTTGGAAAAGGACGTTTTTGAAAAGTCCCATGTCTTTCGTTATTGTGTTTCTGTTCCACTGTTACCATCCTCGAATCCTCTACAGTTCTACTCGTAGCACTGGGTCAATACATTTCACAACGTCAGCTCTGTACACGTGGGCACATCAGTCTGACCCGGGGCATTATGACAAGCCCAGTGTCGTCCGGTTCTTTCAGAGGATTCGGCGTTCCTGTTACCTACCCCCCTCCCCATTCATCATCATCTCTCTCTTTCTCTCTCTCGTCTCCGGTCCTTACAAAGATTTAAAAAAAAAAAAAATTCATCTAAAGTACGGTCGTCCAAGTTGGTATGTGGAAATTGAAATTTTGATGGTATTAGTGCATGAAACAGGTCTGATCCATGATGCTTGGACCGGATTTAAGCTAAAAAAATATTGGTTTGAGTTTTGAGAGACCTCGGCATTGAGTCGGTCGATCCGATAACTGAGGCAGAGGGTTTACTGAATCCTGGTTAGGCGCTTAGTACGTAACAGGGCTGCATATGAGCTGGCTGGGTCTGGACTCTGGATGTATATGTATACCAGCACTTATATTTTCGAGTAGGAACTGATTTCTACTTTTTTCTATCTAGGCTCTTTGTATGCAGAACAGCAGAGCTGCAGAAGGATCCCCTCCCATGGGCTATGGCCCTAAGAAAAATGAAAATGAAATTGAAAAAAAAAAAAAGAATCGACAATAAAGATATCGGGGCCCAATACGAACCATCATCCATGCTTTGATTTGCACCATTTCTGTAACTCTGTTCTGTTTGGCCTGAAGCGAGCAAAGATGAATTATGATATCTATCCTTTAAAAGAATGGTCAAGCCTCTCTCTGGCAAGAGCATTTGTCTTTCGCAGTCTTATCTTTATTTCTTCAATTCGTTTATTATTAACTATTGGGAGATGGGATCGCATGGTAAGTCGTTGTACGTGAACAGTTCACAGAAGATTGAAAGTTGTAACTCGTTCGGAGGTTTATTTACATGCCTCAAGTCTAGTGACCCAGATTGCCATGGAGAATTTTATATTTAATTAAACATTCTGTAGATCTAATGGGATAGACTTTTGTTTCCCAACAGGTGCCACCAGTCGAGTTTAACGTTAAATGTAGTCAATATCAACTAGTCTTTTTTTTACCCAAACACTTGATTCAGTTTATATTTTGGTCCTTTCCTAAAACTTCTTTTTCAATTTTGTTTTATTTTGTTGTCTCCTTCTTTGGGGGTATAAAATATTAAACCTATTCTGTAGGAGACCCAATAAAATGTTAATTAAGAAAGAAGTAAGTTGAAGTAGTATGATATTTGATTGTACACAAATGTTCTAAAATTATTCTTCTACTTTTTAAGGGCTCTCTCATCTCATGATTCTCATCTGAGGTGGTGGATTACAAGGAAATTTCATCGGAAGGGTCGTTCCAAATTAAGGATTATGTTATTCATGATTTATCTCTCCCCCTACAAACTGAAGATCTTTTCTTCTTCCTTTTCGTACCTTGAGTGCCACTATAGAGCCCCTTCTTTGAAACACTGTTCAGTTTCAGCTTTGATTTCTCCTGGTCTCAGAGACTCCTTTCTTTTTCCCGGGCATTCTCTTCCCTTCATGTGGCTCCAACCCCAAGAAAGTCTATAAATGGAGGTGAAATGGTGCTCTCAAAATGGCTGGCCGGGTTGTTGTCTGCAGCAGATGATGATGGTTCAGTGACTGAGACGTGGGATGTTGAAGTTGTCGAGTCCGAGAAACAAGAAAGCTGATACTGGTTTGACTGTTGCATTGGCATCATCATTGGAGGGTGGCTGGTGTAGAACCCAGTGAGGGTAGAATCATCGCTTGCTCTATCCCAAGGCCTGTTCTGGCCGTAAAAGCTGGTCATGTTATTGGGACCTGAAAGAAAAAACACCCAATCACAAAGATGAACAAATCTCAGAAAACAAATAATGATCAATAATAGAAATAAGAATAACGATGCTGATGATGAAGATGACAGATGGTAATCACTTTGTTTGTCATACAAGTATAGAAACAAAAACATAAAAAGGGTTGATATTGAAGCCGATTTTGGTTACAAAATACCCAACCAAAGAAAACATTTTAACATAGAACCTGAACTTGTACCGAGTATGATGATGCTGATGATAACCACTTTGTATATCGTTTCAAAATGAAAAAAGGGAGTTGATAGTTGTAGTGATTTAGTTTGCAGCGTCACAACCTAAAAATATTAAGATAACCGAAGTAGTTTAACCAGAACTTTTAGTGGGTCGCAGTCTAATTAAGTAGACAATATATCAATCGAGTTGTTAAATGAAAACTGCACAGAAGTCCAAATTCACAGAACAGAAAAAAAAATAATAAAATAAAATGTAGTAGTTGGAATGAGGGATGATGAAAAAGGACATACCAGAGAAGAAATCGAAAGGGACTTGATCCGAGCAGTATGCACCATGAGGCGGGAAAATTTTCCTGCTCGAAGAACCAAGTAGCAAATCTCTGGAACATGAGACTGAATCTTCTCCACCATTGGTCATGTTTGCCAAACCATTCGAGCCAGCAATTCCACCACAATAGATAGCTCCAAATGGGAAGGCAGAGTGGTTGTTGAAGTCGCCATTACATAGATTTAAGGAGTTAGAATCTGTTCTTGTGGATGTATCTCTGCAGACAAAATTTGCAGGCTCTTCCAACCTTCTGCTAACAGTTTGACTAAGCTTTCTCCTCCTATAAGCATTAGACTGTTCTCTGTATTTCCTCGCCATTATAACATGCCAATGGTTCTTGACTGCATTGTCAGTCCTCCCGGGGAAAAGCCTTGCGATCATGGCCCATTTGTTACCATACAATCTGTGAGCAGCCATTAGCCTATCTTCTTCTTCTTCAGTGAAAGCTCGTCTGTTGATCCTAGGGTCCAACTGGTTAAACCATCTTAATCGGCAACTCTTACCTTAGAGCCCAAAAAGGAAAAGAGACAATTCAAAGAACAGAAAAAAAATTAAGAAAAAAAGAGGAAAATTTTGAAGAAAACAGAATAAAAATGTATTCAAGCCACAAGAGAACGAAGATTCATTTGTTTTTGTTTTACAGGTGGTTTTACAATGTTCTTTTACTTCCCGGTATATTCTTACCTGATCTTCCTTCCAACTTCTCTGCTATAAGGTTCCAATTCTGAGGGCCATAAAGAGCAACAAGTTCCTTGAGCTTAGTGTCCTCTGCAGGCCTCCAATGCCCTCTGGCACACAGTTTGGATTGCCCACAATCTATTTCCTTCCCATTCACTGAATCCGCATTTGGGTTCTCTTCATTAAACTTGTGCTTGTTGTTGTTGTCTTGCATGACAGCATTGTTTTCTCCAAACCCATCACTGGATTCAGAGCCTTTAGAATCATCTCCCTCATTGTTGTGGGGATCCTCCAAGCTGCTGCCGGTGCAGTTTCCCATAAAAGGGAACGCCCAACCACCTCTCCTGTTATCCTTCTGGGAGCTTTTACCATCATAACTCTCTTGGGAAGCATACTTGGGATTGATGGAGAGAGAACCTAAATCTGCAAACACCCCCATTGAAGAAGAACGAGGAGAGGAAGAAGAGGTAGTGGTGGTGGTGGAGTAACTGCTAAAACCAGTCGAAAGATCTGGTGCATACATGTTATAGTCCTTGGTCATACCATCATTTTCTTGGTGACAGACGATTTTGCTGAACTGTTGCAAGGTCAGCTTCATGGCCAGAGAGGAAAAACTAAAAAATTAAAAGAAAAAGAAAAAAAAAATGAGAAGAGAGATCGACAGAGATTGAAGGGAGGGGGAAGGAGTTGCAGAAGAGAGAAAAAAGCTTGAAACAGCAATAGCGCTTTAACAGAAACCCACACGGCTTCTCATCTCTTGACTCTTTTAGAGGAGTTTATAATCCTGACTGACCGTCTGACCCTGACCTTTATTTCATTTTTTTTTTACCAGTCTTCTCCTTTTAGTTTTGGTTTTTCCCTTTTTAACAACCCAACATCACTCACACGTGTGTATGTCATCTCATTTCACGCGTGAAAGCTGAGAGAAGTCTCTCTCTCTCTCTCATATTGTCTCTCTCTAGCTTGACAAAAAAAACACTACTGTGCTGTCTGCTAGCTTGGGCCTGCAGAGGCCTAGACACCTTTCTTTTCAAGAAGGGAAGAGGGGGAGGGGGGGAGTGGGGCTGGGGTTTGGGTGGGGCTTGAGGCTTGACACAACATCTCCTGTCAACCCTAGTAAATAACATCTCAATCTCCATCTCCATCAGTCCTTAACTTGAGATAGTTAACCTGGGTTCCAGTTAACCACCTGAAGGAGACTCAACGATAACCCCCCACCCCACCAACAAATGACAAAGAATACATGTTCTTCTTCACTAATAATAACCGTCCAAACAGGCATGGAGCTCATGTCTATTAAACCCCACCAGCTCTTTTGTCCCTTTTCTGGATTTTCACGTATTAATTAACACAGTATACTTAAATTTTATTGTTCTAGCCATTTTGGCAAAAACTTTTCTTCCCTCCTGAAGGAGTGAAGGAGAGAAAGGAAAACAAAAAGCCAATCACTCATCTCCTAAATAATCTTAAACTTGACTGAAATTTGTTTCAAATTAAATTTGAAGGGAGAAGAGTTCTTCCCATCGCTAGCAATGTACCCTGGTGTTAAGCTAGGCATTAAATAGTCTGGGTCCCATTGCAAGACTTCAATCACTCTTCAGTCCTCTCTTAACAGGACTGGTATCAGGACCCGTATCTCCATTTAATTAAATTGGTTCATGGGATTTGTTCACCAAAAGCAAGTCACTTTCAACATCCCTTGGTATTCCACCCAAATTTCTTAAAAGGAAGAAGATAGTAAAACTGAACTGATCAAAGGAAGATAACTGTATATTCCTACCAGACACCACCAGTGAAAGGATTGTATAGTTTCATGCAAGATGTCCTTGGCCTGCACTCAACATGCACATATATGACATGTGTATTGTTGAATTTTTTAACTCATCCAAATTTCAGTTTTTAATTTTCACCAACCTGAAAATACAATGGTAGACGTTTCATTTAACGAGGTCACAGTGCAACAGGAATGTACCATCTTTTGCTGCGAAGAGCTCAGCACCACTTCAGTCAAAAAGCTTTGAAACTTGGCTACTTATGGAAATCAACCTAACTAAAACAGCCCAACAAATGAAAAAAAAAACAAAGATGAATTAACCATCTCATTTGCCTCGAAACCTAAGGACCTTCCTGTAGACCGCAGGTCCCAACGAGAGATGGCATTTGTAATTCTGTATTTCCCTATTCCTAGACCAAGTAGTCTCTAGTCTCTAGTCTCTAGTTGTTGTACTTGTTATATCGTTAAGGGGTGCATGCATGCAATTCTGAACATGCTTACTGAAGCTTTTGGGTGATTTGATGTAGAATCAGCTCTTTGATTTATGGAAGATTAAAGCTAAATCAAAATATGCCCAGTGAACAAACCATCTTTAGTTCTTTTTACTACTCTTACGCTTTCTTAGCTGAGTGGGTGCGCGTGTTGCCCAAAACCACAAATTGTTAAACTTAATATGGTTAATTTGCACTGACCTGAACCTAATCAATCATGTTTACCTTTACCAAAAGGAATTGATATATATTTTGAATCTAATCATCACTTATCTATAACAAAAACACAGTTTGTTTGAACTTTGAACCCGATGGGTTGTTAGTTGGTCATCATAAGTGAGCAATAAGTCTGGGTTGATTTCTTTCCTAGTTCACCATATATATATATATATAGAGGTTCTACTTTCAATGATGAAATAAAATGGAAAAAAATACAAAGGTCGTACACTGAAACTGTTAGATCTAAAGTTTCTCATATATTTGTATACCAATTATATGTGGACGGTGGACCTTGGACCAAGAACATCATATGGATTAGTTAAGAGTTATGACATTGTTGGCAGGTGGAGGAAGAGATTTTCTTCAGACAAGAAGAAGAGATAATTGGGTCTCCCAACTACAAAGACCACCACTGAAAACTGAAAGAAAAGCAAGAAAGGAAACGTGTGTTGACAAGTAATTTGCTTGGGAGAATCTATTGCTCCCATCATACGATATTCACCTTTCTAGAGTGATCAAGCAAAAAATTTCCTCTCATTCCCACGTATATCATCCCTCCCATCACTTGCATGTGAGGACTATCAGTCACAAGTAGTTGCTTATTGCAGCAGACCTGATAGATTGATTGTTGGGACAAATATCATGAATGGTTGCATTGATCCTTGATTAATATAATAGATCTAGAGAAACAATATGAATTATTTGATGAGATAACCTTTTTTGTAAAAGAGAAGGATGCCTGTCCATCTGGGCAATCAATTTACTTTACCAGGAGCCACAGATCGATGCATGTATGGAAGTGAAAGATTTAAGATGGGTAGGTGATGTGGATGGCCCACCATATAAAGGGTAGAGCTGCTCCATAAGATTCTGTTGTTGCATGGTGGTGCTCTCTGATTGACCCTTTTCTGTTGCAGCTATTGGGTACTTAGTCTTCCAAAACCAGACAAAACCAACCCTAGCTTAAAATGGGGATAGAAAGGCTTTTAACCATAGGACTTGAGAGAACGCAGAGATCAATTGCTTATGGCCTTTCCTACCACACTTGTTGTTCATGAGCTAGCGGAACCCCATTACCTAAACCATGTGCTTCCAACTTCCAAACACCGAACCTTAACACTAAAACATATATAATATAGACTTGCAACAATCCAAAACCCAAATTCTTCATTACACTTAATTTGTGAGGGCAACAATTATTATATCCTATTAATAGTATCACTACAAGTCCAAGGCAAGATATCGAATCAATACATCATCAACCCAGTAAGAATTAATGTAAGATGCATTAGAAGGAAGGAGTTCCTGTCTCACTGGATGGATGCATGCATTTGGCTTTGAGTCATCAGTAGAATCTGACTCCACATTGGACGGTTGCCACTGAGGGCTCATACGTCATACCCATGAAAGAAAAGCACAAACCATTATTAATGAAACCTGGATTTGTGACGGTTTGAACTTGAAATTCTCAACATCCACACGCCACAAACATAGAGGCCAGGCCACAGTTCGGCCCTACCACCTGGTTGGTACAAGTCTCCATTGTGGGCAAAGGCGGGCAAACCTTGGGCTTGGACTTGGACTTGGACTTGGAGTGAGAAAGGATAATTAAAGAAAGAAAGAACGGGATATGTATAAGAAAAAGAGAGAAACAAACAAACAGTGGGCCAGGATGGACCATTTGGAAGGGTGTTAACCCTACCATTGCTCTTAAATATTTGTCTCAAAATGAACCAGAATGGTACTAAAGCCGTAGTAGTACTCAACGCTCCAGCATGACATATTTAACAACCTAAGACCCATAAATTAATGTTGAAGTATTGATAACCTACCAAGCGCAATGCTTTTAATGTTCTACAGTGTATTCTTGGTGGGGTTTTGTCTCCCTTTTTTTTAAAAAAAAAATCCTAATAGCTAACTTTTCTCCGTCTCCCCCTTTGCAGTTTTGAAATACATATATGTCATCTTCTCAGCTGCCTGTTGGACAAAGTAGAACAACATTTAGATAAAGACCCATCTCCTGATGTGAGGTAGATCATCAGCATGAGTCATGAATCCATCTGTATACATCTGGGTCATGATGAGAGAAAGAGAAAGAGAGGAAACTGGTTTTCCAAATTTTAGTAACAATATTTGGGAAACAAACAAACAATAAGTGAGCAGATCATGGAATGAAGTCTAGTAATAACGGGTATTGTAAGCAGCAGGGTGAAGTCACAGGTAGTACACTGCACAGGTATGTACACAAAAACACCAGCTACAACTCTACACAAGACTCAGATGAAGTAATAGCTCACAAGATATAGCTAGGTAATGTACACAGTAGTACTAGAGACAGCTAGAAAGAGAAAAGAAGGAACCTTGTTCGCACAACAATAGGAGGTTTCTAACCATTGGATTGGAGTTTGATGAGAGAGTGCCAAAATAAGATGGGTTCTGGTTGTTTGGCAGATCTCCATGCGACAATATATAGCATCAGTTAGCCAGTTACTTGTCAATGCTGGCCGTGGCCGTGGATCAAAATAAAAATAGGTGAAAAGTTATATAAGGCGAGGGTTAATGTTGATTTCTGTAAGTCATCCCAAAAAAAGGGATGGATGGACGGAGCTCACGATCCACATATGGATAATAAAGGTAGGGCCTGGGGGTGGGAGGGGGTTGGACTGCATAAGTTAACACAGTCCGTAGAAAGAGATGACCTCATTGATATTTAATACTATAAATAGATAATAAAGATGATGTTTTCACTCTTTTTCATGGTTTACAGGACGTCAACAGCGCATATCAAAAGGGTAAGCCCTGAGACTAGTCTTGATTTTTTAACTTTTCTGAGCCCCAAAGTTGCTGTCTCTCCACACCTCCACCTCCCAATAACCCCAAGTCTTCCACGGTACTTCAGCCAGTGAGCCAAGGAGAGAGAGAGAGAGAGTGAAAATGGGGTGGGGGCGAGGGAAGATATTGAATTTAAACGAGAAGGGTTGTACAACATAATGGAGATGAAAGAAGTTATATAACTGTACAGATGGTGGCAGGAAGAGAGACGGTGGGGGATGGAAGCGGAAGGACAATTTTGATTTTGTTGAGATTTCCTGGCATTGATTGGGGAAGAGACAGAACTTCGCTAACACAGAGGGAATTGTTCTCTCTCTCTCTCTCTCTCATGTAGTCATGTATCCATTCCAAGCAGAAAAAGTGAATGTGCCCGTCCACGTGCAAAGACCTCTCGTGTTGTTACGAACAAACAAAGCAGGCCCAACGGTTCACCATCTATCTATCTTTGAACGTCAGTACTACTGCTTGGCTTTCAATGAATATATATTATATTATATATGACC